GGATTATCTCATGTAATTAGGAGTCCAAAGATAGAGTGGTTTAGTCACATTATCAAAGACCTGGCTTCTTTCCATCTTTCCACTCTGCCATCTTCATTGGGAAGGCTTTTGCCCTCGGCCTTGTCTTCTTTTGAGTACAGATGTCTGCAGCCACAACTCCAGAGAGAAGCCGTTACTTCTATAGAGGACAGCGTCTAGGGTGGCCTTCATGAGCCCCAGCTCTTGGCATCATCCCTTGTTGTGATATGGAACCTGTGACTTGCTTCTCATCAGTGGAATATGGCAAAGGTGATGGGCTCTCTGTGATTACACACATGTGCTCATGATACATACAATTGTAACAGCCATGTCACTAGGAGACCCTCTCTCTCCCTTGCTGGCTTTGGTGAAGCAGCTTCCATGTCGTGAGCTGCCACATGGAGAGAGTCACATGTTAGGGAACTGAGTGTGGCTTCTGCTCAGCAGCCAGTGTGACAGAGGCCCTCAGTCTGGCAGCCTGCAAGGAACTGAATGCAGCCCACAGCCATGTGAGGCTGGAAGTGAACCCTTCCTCAGTCAAGTCTTGGATGAGACTGTGGCATTGGCTGACCCTGGGATTCCATCTCTGTGAGACCCTGAAGCAGAGGCTCCAGCTAAGCTGTCCCTGGACTCCCGATCCCTAGAAATTGTAAGATTAAAGAACCGGTGGGGCCGGGTGCGGTGGCTCACGCCTGTAATCCCAGCACTTTGGGAGGCTGAGGCGGGCGATAATGAGGTCAGATGATCAAGACCATCCTGGCTAACACGGTGAAACCCTGTCTCTACTAAAAATACAAAAAATTAGCCAGGCTTGGTGGCTCGCACCTGTAGTCCCAGCTACTCAGGAGGCTGAGGCAGGAGAATCACTTGAACCTGGGAGGCGGAGGTTGCAGTGAGCCGAGATCGCGCCATTGCACTTCAGCCTGGGTGACAGAGCGAGACTCTGTCTCAACAAAACCCAAAAACCAAAAACCCAGTCTCACATGGCCGTGGGCTGCATTCAGTTCCTTGCAGGCTGCCAGACTGAGGGCCTCAGTGTCACACTGGCTGCTGAGCAGAAGCCACACTCAGTGCAATCTTTTCTCACTGCAGCCTTCGTCTCCTGGACTCAAGCAATCCTCCTGCCTCAGCCTCCCAGGTAGCAGGGACCACAGGTGTGCACCACCACACCCAGGTAATTTTTTTTTTTTCATGTTTTTGTAGAGACCGGGTTTTGCCATGTTGCAAAACGGCACTCATCCCTCCCATGTTGCCCAAACTGGGAGTAATTTTTTTCAAGAAGCCTCCCAGTTATCTTTTTGGAATTATATTATGTGGTCATTCTTAATCTAACCACTGGGAAAGGGAATAAAATTACCGAATTTGGCATAAATGAATCAAGGTTTACTTCTAAAAATAAATACATAGGGAAAATAGTTAAGTGTTACTATGACAAATAGGCAAATCCAAAAACTTGTACATTTACAAGACAATTGGCCTGGTCACTTTAAATAGCCAATATCATTGAAAAAGTGAATTGGACTCTTCTGAATTTTTTAACACTAACACATTTTTTAAAAGGTACCTAACAACCAAATGCAATGTGTGGACCTTGATTGAATCTTAGTTCAAAAATCTAGCATAAAGTCTATTTCAGGAACAATTGGAGAAATTTGAACATGGACTAGATAATTAATATTAAGGAACTATTTTAAATTTTTGTAGTTGAGACAGAAGTATTACAGCTATGTGAGAGAACATCCTTATACTTTAGAAGATGTATACTGAAGTATTTAGGACTAAGGCATCATGATTTCAACAACTTATTTTTGAATAGTTTAGCCAAAAACTATTTCAACACACACACAGAAAGATTAAAGCAAATATGGAAAAATGTTAAATGTTAATTGACTCTAGATGGTAGCTATGATTGACAGTTGCACTATTTTTTTTTCAACCTTTCTAACATTTTTGATCACAAAAATGTGAACACAGACTCACCTCCTTGGGCTGGTATCTTGGTCTATAGATTCAATGCAATCCCAATCGACATCCCAGCAAGTTATTGTGTGGATATCAACAAACTGATTCTAGGGTGGGCACAGTGGCTCACACCTGTAATCCCAGCACCGTGGGAGGCTGAGGCAGGAGGATTGCTTGAGCTCAGGAGTTTGAGACCAGCCTGGGCAACACAGTGAGACCTTGTCTTTACTAAAAATAAGAAATTAGCCAGGTGTGGTGGCATGCACCTGTAGTCCCAGCTACTTGGGAGGTTGAAGTGGGAGGATCACTTGAGCCTAGGAGGTGGAGGTTACAGTGAACTATGATCATGACACTGCACTCCAAATTGGGTGACAGAGCAAGACAATAAATAAATAAATAAATAAATAAATAAATAAATAAATAAAGTATATTAAAAAAAGAAGGCGGCCAGGCATGGTGGCTCACGCCTGTAATCCCAGCACTTTGGGAGACTGAGGTGGGCAGATCAGGAGGTCAGGAGATCAAGACCATCCTGGCTAACACAGTGAAAACCCGTCTCTACTGAAAATACAAAAAAGTAGCCAGGAGTGGCAGCGGGTGCCTGTAGTCCCAGCTACTCGGGAGGCTGAGGCAGGAGAATGGCGTGAACCCGGGAGGCGGAGCTTGCAGTGAGCTGAGATCGCGCCACTGCACTCCAACCTGGGTGACAGAGCGAGACTCCGTTTCAAAAAAAAAAAAGAGGAAGAAGATATACTAGACGTACTTCCTAGGGCTGCCTGGACAGTTTCAGGCTCACTCAATCACCATGTGCTTTTGCCTGGTAACCGACCTCAAGTCACTGGCGTACAATCGGTCAGGGAGCTGGTGTTGTCTCATTCGCTTCATCTATGTTTTCCAGGGTCAAGCCAGCTCTCCAAGGATCTCTCAGCCAGGGCGGACAGAAACGAATACCCTTGTCACTGCGTAGCCCCTGAACCTGATGGGGTATGACCTGCTGGGCGGAGCTCAGCTCAGCTACCCCGAGAAGTAAACAGCACAGAGGGAAAGATAAACACTCTAGGCTTCCCAAAAGCAATTATCAGGTGTGGTTATTAGAACATTTGTATTCACTATCCTGGGGGAAGGAAGCAGAGATACAAATAAATCCAGAATTGATATTTGCCTGGGGATAAATTATATGACATTGCAGAGTGGGGAGCAGATTTTCTTTCTAGATTACTTTCTGCACAGGCAGCCATTAAAATGTATAGCTAGTCCCTGAGCGCGCATCAGCTTGGGGCCGGGAAGCCAGACTGGAGGCCAGGGGAGTTCACGGTTTGAGGGCACAGCGCTCATAAGGAAACGGGAAAGTCAACTTTTGATTTTCTTTTGTCACATGTTTGAGAAGAGTTTGTTACTTTCTCCAAGGCCCTGAGAGGTGATATCACCCTCTCCCCTACATGGTGTGAGCTGGCAACCACAAGGTGGTGACTTCCACAGCAGGTCCCCTGAAGGGGAACAGACAGCGAGTGGCCCCACGGACCCGCAGGATTCTTGAGCTGCCCACGACAGTCCTCGTCTAGAAGCTTCAGCCGGGTATTTATGAGCTTAGCAGTAAAAACTCCCCTGGTGGTCTGCGGATAAGCAAAGCCGGCGTCCCTTCCCTTGCACACTGGCAGTGTTCTGTTGCAAGGGCTTCAGTGCTGAGGCCATTCCTTTGTCTTGGGAAACTGTCACGGGTAGGGCAGCCATTTCTTCAGGCTTGCTGACCCCAGGCTAGCCTCACACCAGCCCAGTGGCCCCCTTCGGCGTGGTGTGGCCAGGGGGAAGATTATCTGTGGCTTTATCAGGCAGATGGTGTCTGGAATCCTCAATCTACCATCTCAGCTGTTTGACCTTGGACAAAGCTGGCCTCCACTACTCGCCCATGAGCTGGAGGTCGCTGCGGTACCTACGGCACTGGGCTGTCAGGAGGATGACGTGAGAATGTACAGAGGGTACCCAGCGCACAGTGATCGTCCAGGAAGCGGCAGCGCTCATAATTTTCTGTGCGTGAGTAGCGGTAACAAACTCCTCTTTTTCAAGAGCACACTCTATGGTTTCTAAAATCTAGGAAAGACACAAATTGTCTTTCTCAGCAGAAACCTGTGAAAACAACTCAGGGACACCCATACCATGAGACCCTTGCCCCGGCTATTTGAATAAGCACAGGTTAGAGCCTTACAACTCTTCATCCCCAGCGTGGTACTCATCCATGAATGGCCACGTTCTACTCGCAGGTGAAATAAACTGGTTTTAAACAATCAGCCTTACGACAATCTTGAGGACAAGAGATTTGGGACATTTCTTGGGCCGCATTAGACCTGAAGCCAGCAGGTCATAGATTTAGGTCCCAAGTCAAACCCTTGCTCAGGTGGGAAACCTATGCACCTGGTTTTGGTCTGTGATCTCTCCTGGAAGCCGAGCGTCATTTGCAAGTGTGTCCGTAGGAGGTGTTGCTTTTTTTGTGGTTGTTGTTGAGGCAGAGTCTTGCTCTATTGCCCCAGAGCTGGAGTGCAGTGGCACCATCTTGGCTCACTGCAACCTCCATCTCCCGGGTTCAAGCAATTCTCCTGCCTCAGCCTCCCAAGTATCTGGGATTACAGGCACGTGCCACTACACCTGGCTAATTTTTGTATTTTTAGTAGAGATGGGGTTTCAACATATTGGCCAGGCTGGTCTTGAACTCCTGACCTCAGGTGATCCACCTGTCTCAGCCTCCCAGAGTGCTGGGATTATAGGCAGGAGCCACCACCCAGCCAGGAGGAGGTGCTCTTAATGCGTAGGACGTGTCTACTGCCTCCCGCCTCCTCTCCCCAGTATTTTCATCCTCAGGTTGAGCCTGGAGTCTGGGTTTCACAGAAACGTGGATAACAATGACATCGGTTATAGAAATAGGAGGCACCTACTCTATGTCCATCAACGTGAGCATATAAAAACGGTTGCTTTTTTTTCTTTTCTTAGACAGTTTGCAGTATAGCTGGGGAGATAAAACATACCAGTCTCTGTAAAGATTAAATTTATTTAAATCACATAAGATTATTCAAAGCCATAGGCATGATTACATCTCTATAGAATCAAGAAGATTTTCTGCGTGGAGAATATCTCATGGAGATTTGAAATGTGTTGCCTCTCCTGAGCAGCCAGGATTAACTCCGCCTAGGAGGAGGTTTTGGATAAGGGTCAGGCTGGTGTCCTTCTTTCCTGCCTCCATGGGTTGTCACCTTCTGCTATGTCAGGGGGGTAGCTTGCTTAAGATGTTGTAAGGAGCACCCCAAATGCCAGGCTTCCTGCCATAGCTGGCCCGCTACAGGGCTCACCAGCCTTGCACCGAGGTCAGCACCTCAGTCACTCCCCATTTTGTCTTTCACCATGAAAGCGTGGCTTTTAATGTAGGCCAAATGCTGTGACACCAGTATCAAGTCACAGAAGCAGCTCGTCTGTTGCCTGCTGAAGCTGAGAGGCAGTGTGGGGTTGGGGTCAGAGGGGAGGGCAGGCTCCTGGGCGCTGCCCACGGGCCTCACTCCTCTGCCTCCACTCACGCGGGCTCGTGTGACCAGATGGGTTTTCTCTTCTGGAGGAAGGCCGTGATGCCCTCCTGCCCGTCCCGCAGGGCCAGGTTGTCCACCATGGCCTGGGAGGTGAGGTAGTAAGCCGTCCCCAGGTCCTGGGGCAGCTGCTTGTAGAAGGTGGCTTTGCCCAGGGACACCACCGGGCGGCTCAGTGACGCGATCTTCCGCGCAATCCGCATGGTCTCCTCCTGCAGCTCTGCCTCTGGCACCACTTTGCTGAGCAGCCCGTGGAGCAGGGCCTGCTGGGCAGAAATGGGCTCCCCAGTAAAGAGCATCTCCAAGGCCACCTACGGGGAGACACAGGAGGTCACTGAGGTGCTCTCCTGTGACCACCCGCCCCTCACCTGAGTCCCACCTCGGCTCAATGACCAGCTTCCTCAAACACCACGTCACCTGCCAGCCCTGATGTCTTCAGTGCCCTCACTCCTGCCCGGGAGGAGAGCAGATCTTTCCAAGAGCGAAGAAACCACACCAGCCCCAGGGGCAGTGACTGTCCCGTGTTGTCTTGCTCCTGCACAGATCTGGTCACTGAGCCCTGCCACGGCTGGGGATGTCGTCTACCTCTTTTGAGGGCCAAGCACAGGATGGAATCCACATCAGCTGGGATGACCCACAGACACTGCAGCGTGGGGGTTGAGGGGGCGGAGTGGGGGGTCCAGTACCTCTCAGAACCCACTGGGGCCACTTCCCACAAGCACTCACGGGGCTGCCACCTCGGCTTGATTGGAAAGAGCAGCCCCGGCCTCCCGGAGAAACGAGGATTTACAGACAACGTCTTCAGGGACCAGATGTAGAGCCCAGCGTGGTTTTAACTCACCAATGGGTAAGAAGTGGCAAGGAGAGGATGCCCTCTCCCCTCCCACAACTCTCCCCTGAGGTTCCAGGGCTGGTGAAGAGCGGGGAGCCCAGTTCCCTCCCTCCCCTCTGTGTCCTCTGCTTCACAGCCACTGCACCAACCAATTCAGTCACGCTACCAGGCCGGCTCCTCTAAAGTCAAATTTACAATGGAAAAGAGGGATCCCCAGGGGCACAAGGACACACAGGCAGGGGGCCTTCCCTCCCCCACGCCTCACTCAGGCTCTCACAATCCTGGTGGCATCCCTGATGTGCCTCAAACACGCCCGTGCGCAGTCACCTCAGGGTCCTCGGACTCGCTGGTCCCTCTGCCTGGAGTGACTTTTCCCTGGCTGTTCTCCTGGCACACGCCCTCATCGCAGGCCTCTAGTCCTGCGTCCCCTGTCACTGAGGTCTTCCATGGCCGCCCTGCTCCAAGTGTAAAACAAACTCTGAAGCGACCCCGCCTGGTTACATTTTAAATCATTTGCGCTTTTCTCCATTTAACACCCTATATATTTCATGTTTGTTTATAGTACGTGTCCTTCGTAGCACGTAAACTCCAGGAGGACAGGATTTCTTTTTTTTCCCAAGATGGCGTCTCACTATATTACGCAGGCCGGTCGTGAACTCCTGGGCACAAGTGACCCTCCAGCCTTGGCCTCTCAAAGTGCTAGGATTACAGGCATGAGCCACCATGCCTGGCCATTTTTTTAGTCTTCTGTTGATTTCTGTATCTCCAGCACTGGAAGACTATCTTGCACATAGCAAGCAACCTATTCAATATTTATGAAGGAGGGAAGGGAGGGAAGAAGAGAGGGAGGAAGGCAGGTAGGCAGGAAAATAGAGTATAGCACAAGTGGCAGGCTGGTTCCTTTGAGAATAGGGCAAGCAGGTGATACAGCTTCTAGCTGGCTCTGGCTGGCTCTTAGGACCTGGCCTCCATGCTGTGAGGAAGCCCAAGCCACACTGAGAGGCCAGGTGCAGTGTGCTGCCAACCACCCTTTGGGGGGCCCAGCTCAGAGGCAGCCTCCACAGCCAGACATGTGAGCAAGCAGCCTTCAGATAAGTCCCCAGCTGAGGCTGCTGACCCTGTGGAGCAGAGAGAAGCCTTCCTCACTGAGCCCTGTCCAAACTGCAAATTCTGTTGTCTTTTGCTATGATACTGTGGGTGACCTGTTGCCTGGTAATAGATAGCTGCACTAGCTGGAGACAGACACAGGAGAGGCATCAGCATGTAGAGTGGGGTTTCTCAACCCTGGTGGTACTGACGTTCGGATAACTTTTTATGGGTGGGGGGCTGGGGGCTGTCCTGTGTATTGCAGGACGTTCTGCAGCATCCTTGACCTCCACCCTCTAGTTATCAGTAGTACCCATGCCCCCACACCAAGCTGTGACAATCAAGAATGTCTCCAGGTATCGCCACATATCCCTGGGCCAATACTGCTCTCAGTTTAGAACCATGGATCTAGAAGGTTTTTAAGTCATAGGACTAGATTGTATCCCCCTGGATTGAGCTTGGATAAAGGAGAGACCAGAAGCCTGGCCTGAGGCCCCTCCTGCCACCATGGGTGGAGATGGAGCCCACAGGCACTGGGCTGGCAGCCAGGGACGGGTGATGCAGAGCCTCCTTGTCTCCTCTGTAAAGTTAAAGGCATGGACTAAATCGCCACCTGTTTTGGAACTGTACTGATTTTACGTTGGAGGGAGCAGGAATGTGACAGCTATGGGGGTTTCAGGGCAGACCATTTTTAGTTGACCAGGAAGAGCACTTCACGCCAAAGTGTGTCTGAAGCCCTGGTTGAACCAGGAGCTAAAAAGCAGATCCTGTTGTGAACAGCTGTGAAATGGGACCCTGCTGAAGACACCTAGCGAGTCACAGCATGGGGCCAGGAAGGTGCTCTGCTCCATCTCTGCCCCTGAACCGCGTGTCAGCTGGGATCAGAAGCCAAGGTGGAGACGGTGTCACGGCTCCTCCCAGCCACTTTCCCTCTACTGATACAGGCGGCCCTTGGGGAACTCACAGGGACCAAATGTCAGGAAGTGGCCAAGCCTGAAAAACTGATGCAACATGAAAAAACAACAAAAGCCACCCAAGTCAACCTTATCGATCCCTTTGTCACTTGCAATGATCAAGTCCTAGATGACTTTCAGAGTTGTTAAGAATGGAGTCAGAGCTGGAAGGAGGAAAGAGTAAATCCAAAGTAGTAAATGATCCTTCCCGGCCGGCTCAGCAGATGGACACGTATTCATCCCAGGTGGGGGACTTGCGGCCTGGACTGGCGGTGTGTGGGCGCAGACCTGCATGAAATTCCAAATGCCCCATATGTTTTGGGGCCAAGTCCTTTGGAGTTCAAGCTTCACAGGCGGGGCCTGGTCCCAGGCCTGCTGGGCACTGGTCCTCCTGGGACCCCTGAGCAAGCCATTTCTCACCTCTCACTTCTGCAGCCAGCATGCTCAGGTACAAATGACTGTCACCAAGGGACACAGCGAAGAAGCCACTAACTAATGACAGCAGGGCACACTGTCACATTGAGTACAACGGAAAGGCTGGGGAAAAAATGGTCCATCTGAGCCAGACATAAATCAGGGAAGTCACTATGAAGATTTTGCTTGCAGAAGAAAAGCTCAGGGACCTGGTTTGAGCTCAGGGGACCTGGCTGAGCCAGATGTACCTGAGTTCCAACCCCAGCTCTGGCACTTACTAACCACAAGACCTTCAACTATTTAATGCCTTGGAGTTTGTTTCATCTGGAAAACAAAAATGAGTGCCTCCTGCAGTATTGCAAGGATTAGAGATAGCAGGTGCGAGGCTCGTATAATAACAGTCCTGGGCACTCAGTAGGCACCTAGTGAATGCAATGCCTATTTTTAACACGCCTAGGCCAACTACAGATGGTTCATGATCTCTAATGCTGGCTTTTAAATGGTCACCCCAGCCTTGGAATAGGGGCGATTAAATCAGAGGGGTCTGCTGGATCTCATAGGCCACCCAAGTGGCAAGAATCGTGTGCTACAGCCCACAGGGGACTCTCCCCACGTCATGCCCCTTTGCATGGGTGTGGTGTCTTAGTCCATTCAGCCTGCTGGAACACAGCACCATAGCTCAGTGGCTTATGAACAACAGACATTTATATCTCACAGTTCTGGAGGCTGCGAAGTCCAAGGTGAGGGTGCCAGCTCCGTGACTGCTGAGGACCTGCTTCCTGGTTCATAAACGGGGCCTTCTAGCTGTGTCCTCACATGCAGAAAAAGGGTTAAGGCAGCTCTCTGGGGCTGTTTTTCTGTTTTTTGTTGCTTTTTTTTTTGAGATGGAGGTTCGCTCTTGTTGCCCAGGCTGGAGTGCAATGGCACGATCTCGGCTCATTGCTACCTCCGCCTCCCAGGTTCAAGGGATTCTCCTGCTTCAACCTCCCAAGTAGCTGGGATTACAGGCATGCGCCACCATACCCAGCTAATTTTTGTATTTTTAGTAGAGACGGGGCTTCGCCATGTTGGCCAGGTTGGTCTCGAACTCCTGACCTCAGGTGATCCACCCACCTCGGCCTCCCACAGTGCTGGGATTACAGGCATGAGACACCACGCCCAGACTGGGGCTGTTTTTACAAAGTCACTGATCCCATTCACAAGGGCTCCATGCTCATGATCTCATCACCCCCAAAGGCCCCACCTTCCAACACCATCACCTTGGGGGTGAGGATTCAACACAGGAATTTGGGGAGGACACAGCATTGAGACCGCAGCACATGGCATCTGTCTCCCAGGGAGTACCAGCAGCAGGGTGAAGAGCTGCAGGAGGAGCACTATGGAAAGAGTCAGGCCTGAGCAGAGCCCATGGGGTTCTTGTGCACACACACACGCACATGCATTCGCACTGGCGCCAAGGCATCGGCAGGGTCTGTCCCTGGGGCTGCCACGTGGCCGGGCTCTGAGGGAAGCACACTGGAGTAAGGACACGAGGCCCTGAAACTCCCAGGCCCTCTTGCAAACTGGGTGTGGAACTGTGCTTCCTCTAAAACTGCACTCCCAACCTCTGGCCACACAAATCACTGCTAAAACACAGCCCGTCTGGGGCAGGCTGGAGACCCAGCCTTTCTCCCAGGCTCTGTAACATCTGCACCAGTTTGAGTAGCGGGCTTTAACCATCTTTCCAGCTTAGAAACCCCACTCTGTTCTCATTAGCTGATTGGAAATCAGAGTCTGCCTGCCTCAGGAAAATGACTGTTCTGGGAGGAAGGGCTTCTCATTTCCCACGTGCTCTCCAGTGAGGCCGGCTGCTTGAGCCACTGGCTCCGGGTCTGAGCAAGGCCAGCTCTGCCTGGGAACGGAGCAGCTGCGCCAGGCAGGGTGTTTTATAGGGTGCCGGGAACATGCATTATTTAGATTATGCCCAAGGAGAGAAGCTCTTTACAAATGGAGACTATTATTCATGTCCAGGCTTGGTCTGGAATGAAGAGACAGGCTTGATTCCATTGTTTCTGCCCGTCTCCAGCACAGTCAAGCAGGTCCCTTGGCGGCCGGGAGAGGGCACTAGTGACCCACACATGTTGTCTCAGCCAGCGTGAGACAAGCCCAACTTGTCCAGGCCAGTTTGCAAAAGTACCTGCTAGCTTCCCTGTAGGTGTACGAGGCACACGCACCCACCCCCAAAATACTCGGTGGGCCTGTGCATGGATGTCCACGGATGGGTTCACACGCACGCAATCGGCAAAGACAACGGGCAGGTGGTTTGGGTCATTATTAGATTGTTATGAATCCCAGTTTCTCCTCCTAAAGCAGGCCCACACAATGAGATCTGCAAATCCAGAAACCTAACAAAGGCCTTAAGTTCCAAAAGACTTTTTCTTCCTACAAAATTCCCTTCATCAGTACTGTGATTTCTGCTTTTCAGTGTTGACCCCAAACCACGTTCCTGAGTCATGGCTCCGAGTGGCCCAGCATTAATAAGCCCAGCGTGCAAGGACTTGTTGACAGAACTCTGAACCGCTTTCAGGCACCTGATTAGAAAAAACTGGCGAGTCTCCACTCGAGTGATTTAGAGGCCTTCTGGGGGTCAGAACATGAGAACAGAGACCAGGAACCCGAGTAGGGCCGTCCGGAGATTTTTTGCCCCATTTTCTGAGGTCTGTCCTTGGGAGGTAAAAGCTACTTTGGTTCATCTAACTGGGCGATTATGAAATGGGGTTTCTGAAGACTGGACTTCCTTGGAACTTAAGGCCTCTTTTTTGTCATATTTTCCCCTTTCTCTTCTCAAAAACTTCAAATTTTATCAATTTAAAACTTGATAAATATAGTCTAGCATTAAGTTTTTAGGGATCAAATCTAACAAGCCTTGATTTCAAAAGTTTGAGAATGGGTTCTTATCCAGACAGTAGGGCTGACTTCAAGGTTTCAAGTGCTTTACTGTGGAACCTTCCAGCACGTCAGGTGTTGAAGAGGACAGGCAGCTGTCAGCATAGCTGTCTTTTATTAAACAAAGGCCTTGTGATTTGATTTGCACAGTTATAAGGTAGTTTGTGAACAAGCTCTGACAATCAATTTGTAATACACAAAGTAAAGTCTTAAGAAATATTTACTGAATGGGCCAGGTGCGGTGGCTCACACCTGTAATTCTAGCATTTTGGGAGGCTGAGGGGGACGGATCACTTGAGGTCAGGAGTTTGAGGCCAGCCTTGCCAACATGGTGAAACACCATCTCTACTAAAAATACAAAATTAGCCGGGCATGGTGGCACGTGCCTGTAATCCCAGTTACTATGGAGGCTGAGGCAGGAGAATCCCTTGAACATTGCAGTGAGCTGAGATTGCGCCACTGTACTCTAGCCTGGGTGACAGAGTGAGACTCCGTCTAAAAAAAAAAAAAAAAAAAAAAAAAAAAAAAAATTACTAAATGAGTTTAAGGTAAGTGTCGATCTTGACAGAGTCGAAAACATCCTCGTAGTCTGAAGACACTTTAGCCAGCCGTCACCTACTGTAGTGTGGAGCCCACTTCCAGCCCACTGTCCTAAGCGTGTGTGTTCACAGGTATCTGTCTTCTTCACAATTTCCCCACAAACACACATTTCTGCAAAAACTAACAAAGGGGCACTGCAAAAGAAAGGAATACTTCCCTAAACTTCTTGGTCCTACTACTGGATTTCCCTTGGATCTTATTTCTCTTGCGTCGAAGGCATGTGAGCAACTGCTAATTTTCATAGTTGATGCTAAAGTAGATCATATACATTAGAAAGCAATAGCTTCTTTACTTGGTGTGGTCTAAGACTCTGCCCCCCTTGTTACAGATTTCCAATTAAGAACAAGGAGGCACTTTTTCTGCAACAAGGACACTGTTGGTTTACACTTGAGGAAGGTTTAGGAAATATTATTTTATGATGTTATAGGAAGGAAGAAAGTTTTGTGATGGAAACAGACTTCACTGTAGTTAACAAAACCACTTTGCAACACGGCTCCTTCTTGGGCAGATTCAACATACCACGCACAGGAGATTCATGTTCTTGAAATGCAACCGTTGTAAACCCAAGACACTCCAAAAATCACCTACTCTAAATCCGTTCTGGAACAAGACGACTGTTGACGAAGAGTGAGCCAGCGACACTACTATCCTAGGCTTCTGATACTGGCATTATGTCAGCACGCTATTCTATCTCACGGGCAACCATTCAGTGCAACAAAACTGAGTCTCAATTGCATTTCAAATAAGATTATAAAATATGTGCCATTAGGAAGACAAACAAAACCAATCGGCAAACCTCCCCAGTGGTACTGAGGGCACACATGATGGAAATGCAGTGATTTCACAAATTGACGCCCTGCGTCAGAAGCTATTGAGGACCATGCAGGCGGTCGGCTCTTCCCTCCCTGCCATTAGAGGGAAAGTCATGGCCCATCTAGCCAGAGGCGCTCTGGGCAGAACGTCCTGATATGAAAGGCACTTTTAACAAGCGGATCTTGAATCATCGCATGCATTGGAGGAGGAACTCCAGAGAAGGCTGGGAGGCAGAGGTGGGTGGGGGAAGTTAAATTACCTTTCTAGGCACTGCTCTTGCCAAGGCAACCCCAGGGGTAGAACAGAAGAGCCCGATGTTCACCCCAGGAGTGGCAAAAGAGGACTTGTCGCTGGCCACGGCAATGTCGCAGCTGGCAACCAGTTGACAGCCGGCGGCTGTGGCCAGGCCATTGACCATGGCAATGACGGGGACAGGATGGTTCCGGATGAGCATCATGACCTGCGGGACAAACACACCCACTTCACTTCCACCCAGAGGGAGGTACGACATTAATGTCTATCTTTTTTTTTTTTTTTTTAGACAGAGTCTCACTCTGTTGCCCAGGAAGGAGTGCAGTGGTGAGATCTTGGCTCACTGCAACCTCCTCCTCCTGGGTTCAAGCGATCCTCCTGCCTCAGTCTCCTGAGTATCTGGGACTACAGGCATGGGCCACCACACCCAGCTAAATTTTTTTGGTACTTTTAGTAAAGATGGGGTTTTACTTTGTTGGCCAGGCTGGTCTGGAATTCCTGACCTCAAGTGATCCACCCACCTTGGCCTCCCAAAGTGCTCAGATTACAGGCCAGTGAGCCACCATGCCTAGCCAACGCCTATCCTTTTATATGACTTTTCCTGTTTCCAGAGCACTTTTCATATGCGTGAGTTTATCAGATTCTATGGAAAAAGGGTCAAAAAAGGCACAGAGAGCACTAACTCCTATTAAATATCTACTCTGAACCAGGCAGTGTCATTTGGTCTTTCTGAGAGCCTCATGGAGACAGAGCCCTATTGTACAACAAGGACACTAAGCTTGGTGGGGGCTGCTGCAGGGGGTGGCCCCAAGCTTAGCTCTTGAGAAGTGACAGACTCCCACCTGCCTTCCTGGCAAACGCGCTGAAGAAGAGTGTGGATTTTTATCTCTGGGGAACAAATCAAACCCTTCAGAGACAGTTCTGTTTCCACCGTGCCTGTGTGAGGCTCTTGTGTTAAAAGTCTGAAGCTGGTATTTGGTGCTTCCTTGAAAAATTAAGGTGGAAAGGACCCTTGAAGGCAGTTTTCTTAATAATTACTTCTCAAATTACCACCATGAAGACTCTCTCAATTCTATTAAAATGGGGGCGGGGGGACTCTGCTGTCATCAAAGTAAACAAAATTCCTAAAATAGAGCCATTGGCACAGAGAGGAGAGACAGAAATGTGCCAATACGACCCCTCCAACCAATACATTTCCAGAACTTTAACTTATTTTTGCAGCTTATGTTTTCATGCCACAGAGTGTGTTGCTATGGTAACTGCAATTTCTAAAGTGCTGCTCTTTGAACCTTGGCAGGGAGAGAGGATGGGAATGAAATTTGGGTTACTTTCCCCAAGGCAGGTATTCAAAGACGAACGACCTTCATTGATTTGAAGATTCTGTCTAAGAAGCTTATCTTTTATATCCATAAACATTTGATATTCGTTAGCCTTCTTCTAAAATAACCAATTATATGTTTAAGGCTATGGTATCCTATCCTATAGTAGTGTTTTTTTACTTTTTTGGGGGGAGGTCTCCTTTATAGAACCTGATAAACACTAATAACATTCCCTAGGATAAATGAGGAAATGCATCCTCCTCAGAAGAACACAGGTGAGTGGATCACCTGAGGTCAGGAGTTTGAGACCAGCCTGGCCAACATCATGAAACCCTGTCTCTACTAAAAAAAAAATACAAAAATTAGCTGGGCGTGGTGGCGTGTGCCGGTAATCCCAGTCTACTTGGGAGGCTGAGGCAGGAGAATTGCTTGAACTTGGGAAGTGGAGGTTGCAGTGAGCTGAGATCGTGCCATTGCACTCTAGCCTGGGTGACACAGCGAGACTCTGTCTCAAAAAAAAAAAAAAAAAAAAAAAAAAAAAAAGAAGAAGAAGAAGAAGAAGAATGCACAGATAAGTAAACACCTGTACACAACACTGTTCGCGGATTTACGGGGTTCATGCACTGTAGGGCGAGGCTGGGGATGGGCCAGCGAGTGCTCATTATCAGTGAACTGGAATGAATAACAAGGGGAAGAACTCCCAAGAACTTCTAAAGTCTTGCTGCAAAGAAAGAAAAGATTTTGTTTTTGTTCTGAGCGTTGCTGCACCACCCAAGGAACTGAAGTTACTGATGAAAAGCGAATTGACTGGGATTAGAGTTGAACAGTCTACCTGTCCTGTCCACCATCTGTGAATGGCTAGGATTTCATAAAACTTGGCAGAAAAATAGGTAATACAGTATATATTCAGCATAAAAAACACATATAATTATTAATATTATTTTTTTGAAACAGAGACTTGCTCTGTCACCCAAGCTGGAGTATGGTGGTGCGATCCTGGCTCACTGCAACCTCCGCCTCCTGGGTTCAAGTGACTCTCCTGCCTCAGCCTCCCGAGTACCTGGGGTTATAAGTGTGCACCACCATACCCAGCTAACTTTTTTGTATTTTTAGTAGAGACAGAATTTCACCATGTTGGCCAGGTTGGTCTCAAACTCCTGACCTCAAGTGATCCACCCGCCTCGGCCTCCCAAAGTGCTGGGATTACAGATGTAAGTCACCGCGTCCGGCCTAAAAATGCATATTCACCTTTGATCTAGGAATTCTACTTCTAAGAAATAACATGAAATAGGTAAAAAGCTCTATGCCAAAGATGCTCACTAAATCATTATATTATAATAGTAAAAAAAAAACTATAAATAATATAAATATACAAAATAAATAAATGGCAATGGAAACTAAACTACATCCATTGACTAGGATGCTGTATTCTCACTGAAATGAAAATTTCCAAGAGAAACACCAGCGTAGCAGTCTGGAGCTTATGCCGTGGTCTGAAACTAGGCTGCCAGGGTTTGACGCTCAGTCTGTCACTTACTCACTGCGTAATCCTGGACAAGTCATTCAACCCCTCAGTTTTCACATCTGTAAAATGGGCATGGTAATAGCACCATCCTCATAAAACATGACAGTTATATAAATTAACATATCTAAAGTACTTAAAATATTACCTGGCATATAGTAAGCATTCAATGCTATAATCATATTATATAATTTTATACTGTAATGTCATCTATATATGATTATTTAGAAAAACAGGTTCACGTGCAAAAATGATCTAAAAGGAAATATAGCAAAATATTAATCACAGTTCTCTCTGGGAGGTATGAATATGGTATAACATAGGTAATCTTTTATTTTTCTAGACTTTCAAAACTGTTTATAAGTACTTATTACTTTCATGATTAAGACTGTGTTAGGCCGGGCACTGTGGCTCATGCCTGTAATCCTAGCACTTTGGGAGGCTAAGGTGGGCGGATCATTTTGAGGTCAGGAGTTTGAGACCAGCCTGGTCAACATGGTGCAACCCCGTTTCTACTAAAAAAAAATAAAACCAAAAAAAGTTAGCCGGGCATGGTGGCGCATGCCTGTAGTCCCAGCTACTCGGGAGGCTGAGGCAGGAGAATTGCTTGAACCTGGGAGGCAGAGGTTGCAGTGAGCCGAGATCAGGCCACTGCACTCCAGCCTGGGCGATAGAGCAAGATTCTGTCTCAAGAAGAAAAAAAAAAAAAAGACTATTTAAAATATAAAGTTAGAGAGAAGTTCAGAAAAGACAAAGGGAATTTAAATAATCAACAGGCTAGAATAGTCAAACACTTGATAGTCAAGAACTGATTATACCTATTTGACCTTCCTGAATTAGGTACTGTTTTGGGTCTACTGACCCCAAAATGTGACATAAATAGAACTCTGCCCTAATCTCCTTTAACAGCATCGCTAAGGGTTTCGCGTTATTTCCCAAAGCAAGAAACCTTGTCCCATTGTCATGTGATTGACAGGGTATGAGAGCAAAGAGCAGACTCTTCTCCTGAACTAGAGTTCCGTCTCCAAACCTCAACAGGATACAAGCAGAGAGACAAAGAAGAAGTCTCTAATGTGAGCGCCATGGAAGGTCATTTTCACTCTTCCAGAGTCAAGCTCTTCTCATTCTCATTCTACTCATTCTTAATTTGCCATACTCCTGGTCTGTATATAATTAACTATCATGCAGTACTTGTGGTCTGTAACAAATTGGTATAGTTTTTAGATGCTTAGCTAATTCAGATACCTCTATCCTCCTTTCTAAAATCAAATTTTCTCATGCATGAACTGAACAATGAAATATCTAGCTCATTCTGTTCCAATCTACCTGTTGATTTCACTTGGAAATTGAAATCTTGCACAAGTCCATGGCACTCATATTTAGCCAACACAATGTGATTTTCTTAGAAATGGTTTAAAGAAATCAGTACACTTTCAGTCCTATTTTACTACTTTGGGGTAGGCCCTGTTTATGCACTGAGTCTTTTTCAGGAAGTCAGAGGCCTCCAAGGGTTAGGGGCTTCCAAGAAATCTGGGCTTTATCCTCTGAAGAAGGCCTGCTCCCCTGTGGCCCATGGCTACGCTGTTTAGATCCCAGTTCATGAAGTTGCCAGAGCAGAGTGATAAAAGCAGACCCTTAGGGAGGATAACAGGGCTTTACTGGTTCTCTTTGATGCTTTTCAACTTCAGCCAAACATACTGGGTACTGGTAGAAAAAAACTTTTACAGCACCAAGCCTTGGCAAACCTAAGAGTGGAATGTTACATAAACATCACTAATGTAGGAAACAAAAGATCCAGGTCTCGGCTCTAACTTGCTCCCACTTCCCCATGAAGTTTCAAGTAAATTGCTTTTCCTGTTTGTCCTTCCATGGAGTAAGAAAAATAGAACCTGATCTCGTTATGGGTTTCTGGAAGGGCAAGGAAAACAAATGGGGATGTCTTAATCATCTTCCCATTCACATCGCTGTTGCTCACTTGTGTCTTGTATCATTAAACATCTGTGAAATCATTAATGACCAAATACATGAATGAATAAGTCGATGAATGAATAAAAAATTAGGTTAAACTATCTTAGAGGCAGGTTATGAAGCTGTCTTATATGTGTTGTTTCCCAAATAGATTTTCAGTTTCCATTTGGCAGAAAGCAATTTTTTCTTATGTTTCCCTCAATGCCTTGCAGGTATTATAATAGGTGCTCAATAAACGGTCATTAGATGAACAATGTATTACTTAAAGCTGGATTCTCTATTCAATTTTTCATTACCCAAGGGGTTGATTTCATGCATTTATAAATCATCCAAAACTTTTTGTACCTCTTCTTCCTCTGTGGCTGTTGGTATTTTTCCTCCTTAATATGGTGAAAGAGGCAGAAAAGAAGCAACGACGAAGAGGTTAATTTTCCTACTTGGAGGTGGTGATTATAAAGACTGGTTGAAAGAAGCATTTGAAAACAATTTAAAAAAACCATTATTGTTATTCCACTTATTAATGTTCTTTCCCATTTAACAGAGTTGTTTTAGTTTAAATTTTTTTTAAATTATTATAATCTTAGATTCTTCCTCTCTAAAGACACACATTTTCACCTTTTTCCTCTTACTCCAAACTTCTACACGAAGACGTACTCCCACAATGCTAGACATGGCAACCATGAGTACCATCCTATATTCCACTTTCTTTGGTACACAACAAAATCAATAGCAAATTATGGTTGCTTCTTAAAAGTCTAAACTAGGCCATGCACGGTGGCTCACGTCTGTAATCCCAGCACTTTGGAAGGTCGAGGTGGGAGGATCACCTGAGGTCAGGAGTTTGAGACCAGCCTGGCCAACATGGTGAAACCTCATCTCTACTAAAAATACAAAAGTTAGCCAGGTGTGGTGGTGCGTGCCTGCTAGTCCCAGCTACTCAAGAAGCTGAGGCAGAAGAATCGCTTGAACCCGGGAGGCAGAGGTTGCAGTGAGCCAAGATTGCACCACTGCACTCCAGCTTGGGTGACAGAGAGAAACTCTGTCTGGGAAAAAAAAAAAAAAAGTCTAAACCAAATAATTTCTTGGATAAAGGATCTGATGACCAAACAGTTTCCAGTTGCTCTGGGTGGTTGGGTCTCACGGATAAAATCTTATCTGTAAGCTAGAAGGCGAACTCAACATTTAATATAATGATCATTTGCGGGTTTGCACTGTCGACTGTCGTCCCGGCTTACCTTGGAACAGGTCTGAAATACTTCCGCATGGTAATCACGGCCTTGCTCCTCTGTCAGCTCCTTTAAATCATGCCCAGAAGAAAACACAGGCCCCTCAGCTGCAAATGTTTCCAATTGAGAAAAGAAAACAAAAAGATGTAAACACCCAGAGTTGGACACTTAGTTCCCTTCCTTGTCTACTGAATAACTTCAGCAAACATTCACTTAGAGCAAGTTAATGGCCTGATTTTGAGAAGAATAATTCCAGTTTGATGGAAAAGTTCCAGCCAGAAGTTTGTGATGAAAAATGCAAGGTGAGGCATTTTTTAGGTGCCTCTGTGTCCTAAAAGTCCTTGATGGAAAATGATAGAAATACACAATTACATAAGGAGAAGGTTCAGTTACCAAGGCAAAGGTATTTTATACAGAGCCTTTATTTGGGGACTCGCTCTGGCCTGAGTGTATTGAGTCACACAAGCTCATCAAAATCCCTCATGCCGAAGGCAGTGTCCATGTCATTTCGTCTACAAGTGGTGGCCAACCATCATGGCTGAACTGGGAGGTGAGGGTAGGGAGAGACCTCGGAAGCCTTCTGGTCTTCATTTTACAGATGAGGGATCATAGGATGTGGCTGCTATCACTGCTGTCATCAACAAGAAAATGTCATCCTACTGATGAGCTGATAACATTTTCTCATACTTCCCTTTTGTTGTTGTTGTTGTTGCTGGAGACAGAGTCTTGCTCTGTTGCCCAGGCTGGAGTGCAGAGGCACAATCTTGGCTCACTGCGACCTCTGCCTCCGGGGTTCAAGCAATTCTTGTGCCTTAGCCTCCTGAGTAGCTGGGATTACAGGCGCCTGCCACCACGCCTGGCTAATTTTTGTAGTTTTAGTAGAGATGGAGTTTTGGCCACGTTGGCCAGGCTGGTCTCGAACTCTTGGTCTCAAGTGATCTGCACGCCTTGGCCTCCCAAAGTGCTGGGATTACAGGCATGAGGCACCATGCCTGGCTGTTGTAGTTACCTTAATTGATAGGCAATATTATTGTCTTTTTGTAAGTGAGGTAATTGTGTAGTTAAGAAGCTATAGTGAGACCCTGTCTCTGCAAAATAAAACCTTAAAAATTAGCAAGGCACAGTGGTGGCAGTGTTGTTTGAGGCCAGGAGTTTGAGACCAGCTTGGGCAACATAGCAAGTCGCTAGCTCCACAAAAAATAAAAAATTAGCTGAGTGTAGTGGCACATACCTATAGTCCCAGCTACTCAGGGGACTGAGGCTGGAGATCACTTAAGCCCAGAAGTTTGAGGCTGCAGTGAGCTATAATCATGCCACTGCACTCCAGCCTGGGCAACAGAGCAAGACTGTGTCCAAAAAAAAAAAAAAAAAAAAAAGAAGTTAACTGCCTTTGCTGTATCCAGGTGACATCCCACATGGCTGCTGGATTGTACTAGTTCTAATTTCTTTTCTCTTCACCATATAAGACAGTTGAACACTTCTGATTAACCACGGATAAGATGGTAACATTCTGAGTTTCTGCCTCCAGAAATCCTGATGCTTGACTTGCCAAACAAACATAGCATCACAAAGTATCATCGTCATATTTTTTTGTGCACACTTTAAAATGCTAATATTACTAATATTTATACCAGTCCCATCATCACAAGAAAAAATAATTCTGTAAAAATTCTTTTTGGAGCAAGCAAACAAATGAGCAGAATATGGCATCCTTTCCAGCACCATTAAAGGCACTGCAGATATCAGTTCGCAAGCTTGGTAAGAAAAGAAAAGTCAAACCAATCAAATGCCCCAAAGGATTCGTGGTTAAACCCATTTTATAAGGTCCATGAAGAAATCAATTCTCTGACTTTGAGGGGAATACCAGTATAGCCAAGAACAGAAATGTTTTAGTATCTAACAAAAAGGAAAAGACAGATTTTCACTGAACAGTCACCTCTGCTATACATTCTGCAGTTAATAGTGTTAGGACCAAATCACCAACTACACAGGTGTTTTCTACAATTAATGTTCTTGTAAAGGAGCTTCAAAACAATTCTCCAGTGAAATGAAGGGATGCCCCAGTTAACTAAAGACTCTCAAGAAAGCTCTTCTGGGGCCGGGCGCGGTGGCTCAAGCCTGTAATCCCAGCACTTTGGGAGGCCGAGACGGGCGGATCACAAGGTCAGGAGATCGAGACCAGCCTGGCTAATACGGTGAAACCCCGTCTCTACTAAAAAAAAATACAAAAAACTAGCCGGGTGAGGTGGCGGGCGCCTGTAGTCCCAGCTACTCGGGAGGCTGAGGCAGGAGAATGGTGTAGACCCGGGAGGCGGAGCTTGCAGTGAGCTGAGATCCGGCCACTGCACTCCAGCCTGGGCGACAGCGCGAGACTCTGTCTAAAAAAAAAAAAAAGAAAGCTCTTCTGGGCACTGCAGAATCCTAAGGACAGATATCAGATACATACCCGAGATGATAATGACTTTCAGATCGTTGCTGTCAGCGTCATGAAGAATGTCACTCTGCAGAGATTTCAGCGTTGCAAGTGACAACGCGTTCCTCTTCTTGGGATTGCTCAAGACGATGTTCCTGTGAAGCACATTTTACAATCACAGGGTCACGCACCAGTCAAAACAAGTGAGGACCCCTGCGATTCCTGTCTAATTTAGGAGCTATTTTTAAAAGACAAGAAAAGAGAACTGCTGGGGCTTAGTGCCAATTTAGAGGGTCTGTCGACTCTCTGGAGTTATAGCCAAGTCAAAACAAGAAAAAGGCGATCTGAAATGCAGGCTGGGTTTCCTCCCTCTTCCCTTGATTTGTTTCTCTTTTTCTCCATGTTTGCTGTCAGAAACATGACTGCCACCTCCACAGAGAGGGCAACGCACAGCAGTTCCAAAATCGACACCACCCAGAGAGGCTGCAAGCTTAGCGTGACAGCGGCAGGCGCCGGAGAAATCTGACACACAGTGGCTACCTTCCACTGCTTTCTTTCCATTGTTTCTTAGAAAAAAGTTAGAAAAGAAACCCAGAATGAAAATAACGCCCCAGATCTCAGCTCACTGCAACCTCCACCTCCCGGGTTGAAGCGAGTCTACTGCTTCGGCGTCCCGAATAGCTGGGACTACAGGCGCCCACCATCATGCCCGGCTACTTTTGTATCTTTAGTAGAGATGAGGTTTCACCATGTTGGCTAGGCTGGTCTTGAACTCCTGATCTCAGGTGATCCGCTTGCCTCAGCCTCCCAAAGTGTTGGGATTATAGGCAGGAGCCACCGTGTCTGACCCAATTTTTTATATTTAATTTTTGTGAGTACATATAGTAGGTGTATATATATTTATGGGGTACCTGGGATGTTTTGGCACAGGCAAGCAATGCGCAATGATCACATCATGGAAAATGGTGTATCCATCCCCTCAAGCATTTATCCTTTGTGGATAACAAAGGATAAATCAACAATCCAATGATACTCTTTTAGTTAGTTTCAAATCTACAATTAAATTATTATTGACTATAGTCACCCTGTTGTGCTATAGAATTCTCAGCCTTATTCATTCATTCTATTTTTCTGTACCCAGTCCATTTTTTTTTTTTTTTTTTGAGATGGAGTTTCATTCTTGTTGCCCAGGCTGGAATACAATGGCATGATCTTGGCTCACTGCAACCTCTGCCTCCCGGGTTCAAGTGATTCTTTTGCCTCAGGCTCCCAAGTAGCTGGGATTGCAGGTGTGCGCCACCACATCCAGCTAATTTTTGTATTTTTAGTAGAGCTGAGGTTTCACCATGTTGGCCAGGCTGGTCTCGAACTCTTGACCTCAGGTGATCCACCCGCCTTGGCCTCCCAAAGTGCTGGGATTACAGACGTGAGCTACTGTGCCTAGGCCCATCTTTTCTTATAGTGGCATCCTGTAAGTCTACAAAACAATTCGTGCTGTCTGCGAATGGGATAATACAGGAAGAATAAAAGTACAAGTTGCACAGCAAGAGGGCTCTTCTGGACATATCCTGTCACCAAAAGCTGGGGTCCAAAGGGCCTGCTCGCTCTTTTGAGGCATCCCATGTGCTGAATAAAATAATCTGTATTGTCATCTTGCTGCCTGTACACAGAAATGTCTTCTTTTTGGCTGCTATAAGAAATGGGCAAAGAGCCAAACACCAGATTGTTATTATGTATTTTATGTGTTTCCTATCAGTTTTCACCTACATGTTTCCTGCCTTCCTCAATCTTTTTTGAATCTGATATTCCTTCCGTGGTACAGCCAGCTTGGATCTTCCGTAAATAGTATTCTGTGTCGTGTTTTTCTGGAAAACAGCTTTGATGACTGAATTTATTTCGATAAGAATAACCACTTTCTTTGGAATACCGTTTCAAGGTTGCTGTAGTCTTCAGGTGGCTGCGCTATTCATCTTGTTGTTTCTTATAAACATTGTTCTTTCCTAAGTACAAAAATTACTTGTGCTGATTTGCTGATAGACTTCAAAACTTACATTTGGTGCGGGTGGTGGGAGAACGGCTTATAAACCACTCCATCAAATAATGAGGGTGCTTCTTGTAGCAAATATAAAAAGCTGCCATCCCATCGGTGACTTATGCTTAAACTAAATGCTAAGGTCTCAGACAAAATCGTATAAAAAGATTCCAGCCCCCAAGGCCATTGTGCACTGCGGAATCTGTTCATGTGTCCCATTAGCTGTTTGGCTCCGACCCTGTGAGTGTTCTAAACCGCAGAGTCCACTCTCCAACCCAGAGGAAACAGGCTCAACTCCTCCCGCTCCACCCAAGCTCTTCTCACAGACCATCTCCTAATTGCCAGATCCAAATCCACTGGCCATCTCGATCATTCCCTCCTTCTGGAGACAGATTTCTTCTCTCCTGGTTGTTTTGTACTTCTCTGGCCGGTCCTTCTTTGTAGGGTCCAGCCCCACAGAGTCGGTGGGTTTTTCTCCTCATGTGCGGAGATGAGAGATTGTAGGAATAAAGACACAAGACAAAGAGATAAAAGAAAAGACAGCTGGGCCCGGGGGACCACTACCACCAAGAGGCAGAGACCGGTAGTGCCCTGAATGCCAGGCTGTGCTGTTATTTATTGGGTACAAGGCAAAAGGGGCAAGGTAAGGAGTGTGAGCCATCTCCAATGATTGACAAGGTCACATGAATCACGTGTCCACTGGACAGGGGGCCCTTCCCTGTTTGGCAGCCGAGGTGGAGAGACATAGAGAGAGAGAGAGGACACAGCCTATGCCATTATTTCTTCATATCAGAGACTTTTAGTACTTTCACTAATTTGCTACTGTTATCTAGAAGGCAGAGCCAGGTGTAAGGATGGAACATGAAGGCAGACTGGGAGCGTGACCACTGAAGCACAGCATCACAGGGAGATGGTCAGGCCTCCGGATAACTGTGGGCGGGCCTGACTGATGTCACGCCCTCCACAAGAGGCAGAGGAGTCGAGTCTTCTCTAAACTCCTCCGGGGAAAGGGAGACTCCCTTTCCCGGTCTGCTAAGTAGCGGGTGTTTTTCCTTGACACTGACGCTACCGCTAGACCACGGTCTGCTTGGCAACGGGCATCATCCCGGACGCTGGCGTTACCGCTAGACCAAGCAGCCCTCTGGTGGCCCTGCCCGGGGAATAACAGAAGGCTCATACTCTAGTCTTCTGGTCACTTCTCACTATGTCCCCTCAGCTCTTATCTCTGTATGGCTTGGTTTTTCCTAGGTTATAATTGTAGAGCAAGGATAATTATAATATTGGAATAAAGAGTAATTGCTATAAGCTAATGATTAATGATATTCATATATAATCATATCTATTATCTATATCTAGTATAACTATTCCTATTTTATGTATTTTATTACACTGGAACAGCTCGTGCCCTCAATCTCTTGCCTCCGCACCTGGGTAGCTTGACGCCCCACTTCTTGACTTCTTTCGTGGGCTACTAGCCCTCTGTTAATCCCTGAATGCCAGCCATCCTGAATTCTGTCCTCCGCACTCTTCCCAGGCAACTTCGCCAATGACCTTGACGTCAACGGCCGCCTCTGAGCTGAGCTCCAGGTGCACACGTTCATCCCGATGTCCACTGGCCTTTTCCATCTAGGTGTCCTTGGGCATCCCCCCATTCTCAAACCTGCCCCTCTCGTCTCTTCCTTATTTGAGTGGTGCCACTCAGCTGCCTGAATCAGAGAAAAAGTCCTTCTAGTTTTTTATCTCTTCCTGATTCAACTGGCACCAAAGCCTGTTAATAATACCTCCTAAAAAATCTCATCACTGAACCCTCCCAATGGCCATCTTGGTTGAAAACATGCGATGCCTTGCACTGAGAGCTTCACCAATATCACCTATCCGAAGAGGAAAACTTTAAGAATGAGGTTACCACCAGAGCATGTGATAAGTATCAAGGTAAGAGATGGTCCTTATAAATGCCCCCATGAGCTGTCTGAAGATCATTATTGTAAACCACGAGAAGGTCCCTGAAGTGAGGGACTGTCATGTTCTCACACAGAGAAGACGCTCAATATCTGTTCTAATGACAAAAAATAGCATTTCTATTTTTTCACAGCCAATTCCACCGAATGCAGTGGAATGACATTGCATCCAGTTTTTTTGCCATCTCTTTTCAAACCAAGCGGTGAGTAGAAACAGAGTAGAAACCACTTTGGGGCAGAGGGACCTCTCTGAACCCTGGTGAGACCTACTGGCCGTGTGGCCCTGAACAGGCTGTCACCTCTCTGAACTTGCTTCCTCACTGTAAAGGGGGCATAAAATTACCCACCTTGCAGGCCATTGTTAAGAATTAGGGATCATGGATGCCAGGAGCCCAGCACAGAGCTGGCCCTGGGTCCATGACAGCAGTGCCGCTGGGAGGAGCATGGAAAACGGACACTTGAAGAGTGACGGGTTGCTCAAGTTCTCGCACAAGTTGACCTGCTTAGTGCCTAACATAGTGCTGCTTTAATGCCTGGTTAAGAAGTTTCCTTTCCTACTAAACAACCCCTAGCATTCACGCGAGAGTGTTTCAGTCACCACCTTTGCTGATTCATGTTTAATTCTGGAGAACTCGACCAGCCTCCTTTTTGTCATCTGGCCTGCCCAGAAGTCAGGCTTCCAACCAGATGTGACCAGATTTACAGAAGTGGAAACTTAGCAATGGGCAAGAAAGGCCCTGGCCTGGGCCCTGCTCTCGCCTGTGCTCCTGTAGATGATGAGCAAGGGGTCCACAGGGAAAGGAACCATCCCCTTTCTAAACCCTGGGGCCATTACTGAGACCCTGGAATTCCCTGCCCCTGCTGTGGGCACCACAAGCCCAAAGGCGGCCAAGAGCAGTTGTCTGTAGGGCATGAGGGGACAGACAATCCGGGCATGCTGGAAGGGTGTCTGCAGATCTGTGCACCCAGTCCCCTGCAGAGCAGCAGAAAGGACGGGTGCAAAGGTGGGAAAGGATGAGAGGAGGGTGAGCAGAAAAGGAAAACGCTGAAGCCAGGGGCTGGCTCTCCACCCCTGCGGGGAACCACCCGGTCATCTCATTATCAGTTCACCTGCGGCCTTCTAGGTCTTCTTCGGAAGGTAAACATCTCAGGGTAGGAGAAAACGACGCTTATTTAACAGCTTGATTTAGAACTGAAACATGCTGAAACATGGTACTCAGGCCTCTCTTTGCACCCTTGCCTGGGCCAGGCAAGCACCCGGCTCAGGCCTGAAGTGGGCAGGGCCCTCCACCTTCATGACTCTATCGCCAGTTTCCAGTTGGCACACAAGCACATTTTTAAGAGTTTTGGGCCTGTAGCCACAAGGGCAGCACTCAGGACGCTGTGTCCTTAGTACTATTTACTGTCCCGCCCCCAGCCCCGCGCCTCTGGGTGAGGGCCAAGGAGCAGCTCGGCCGTGCCCACACTCCCCCTGGAGCCAGGTCTGGGGCCCAGAGCCCTCCTCTCCAGACCTCTCCGCAGGCCCAGCGGCTGGAGGCCCAGTGACCCCGCAGGCGGCCCTGAAGGCTTCGGAGCCCCGGCCAGTCCCACCGACTCGCTGCCAGGCCCGGGTCCGGGACACTGGGGGTTCCCTCCCCAGGGGCGCAAACGGGGCTGCGGCTCCCCGGGTCCTCGCGGCGTCAGTGGCGGCGCCCGCGCCCCGACCCCGACCCGGCCCCAACGCGAGGAGCCCGTGCGGCCCGGGGCTGACCTTATGCCGTCCAGCTGCCGCGCGCTCGTGGGCCGCGGCTCCGACTCCTGCCGCCCCGCTCCGGCCGGGTCCCGGCTGCAGAAGCGGGCGGACAGCTGGGCCCAGGGGCCGCGCCGGAGACAGATGGGCCCCCTCGCCCCGAAGGCCCGCAAGACGGCGACGGCTGCCATGGCATCCGGGACGGCCAGGCGCCGCAGGATCGCGCTGTCTGACCGGCCGCAGGTGCTGGGCGCTCCGAGGGCGCTGCTGTGAGCAGAGCCGGGACGGAACGGGACGGAACTCGACGGAACTCAGCTGTGGCCGAGACCCGGACGGAACCACCTGACAGGCCTAGGCTTCGCGAGGACGCCCCAGGCCGGGCCCTGTCCCCACTACGCCCCGCCCCGGCACGCCCCGTCCCCACTACGCCCCGCCCCGGCACGACCCGTCCCCACTACGCCCCGCCCCGGCACGCCCCGTCCCCACTACGCCCCGCCCCGGCACGCCCCGCCCCGGCACGCCCCTCCCCACTACGCCCCGCCCCGGCACGCCCCGCCCCCACGAGACCCTCCCCCGGCTCGCCCCGCCCCCCAGGGTGAAAGGCGCGCATTGAAAACTCGCAGGCCAGCTCTTGGGGTTGTTTGACAACGCCTGTGGGAAAGTTTAAGCGAGGGGACAAGTAGGATGATTTCTTTTTGCACCAACACCAGGAATGTGGCGTTTGCCTGCATTGGGAAAACGAGCATCGGGGTGAGTGGCGCTGCACTGTTACCAAGCCCTCCCCTACCTGCCTAGGAAACGCCCGGGGCCTGGAGGGCTAGCACGTGGGGGGCCTGGCTGCCCCGACGTTGACTTTTTAATGCTTGTGTCCTCTCATCCAGACGCTGGGGTCCACACTTTACGTTTCTGCCACCAGGTGGCTGGAAATGGAAAATAAGTTCATAAACAAAATAAAGTTAAATTTCTAGAACACCTGAGCCTGACCTCGCAGTCATGCCAAGTGCCTCCGAAGAGGCCGAGCGTGGGGTCGCAGAGCCTGATCAAAGTGACCGCCCTCAGGGCCTAGGGTTACTGCTGGTCTCTTACTAAGATGACTTTCGCTAGCTGAGAGGAGATGAGGAGGCCCCATTCCACAGGGGAGCTGGCACAAGAGGGAACTGATACACGGGGTTTGGGGAAGACGAAGGAGCTCTGAGAGCACTCCGAACCTGAACTGCGCAGATGAAAATGGAAAGGTGGCTGGGCGCAGTGGCTCACGCCTGTAATCCCAACCCCTTGGGAGGTCGAGGCAGGTGGATCACCTGAGGTCAGGAGTTCGAGTACAGCCTGACCAACATGGTGAAACCCGTCTCTACTAAAAATATAAAAAATTAACTGGGCGTGGCTGCGGGCGCCTGTAGTCCAAGCTACTCGAGAGGCTCAGACACGAGAATCGCTTGAACCCGGGAGGCGGAGGTTGCAGTGAGCCGAGATTGTGCCACTGCCCTCCAGCCTGGGCGACAGAGCGAGACGCCGTCTCAAAAAAAAAATGGAAAGGCTCAGAGGCCACTTCCACCTGCTGCTACATATGATTTAATAATAACAGATCACTCTTTGTGGAGCCCCACTCTGCCAGTGCCTGTACTTATGCCGTCTCTTTCGACGTTCGGGGTAGTCCAGGCAGGTATCATTTTCCCAGTTCCCACCAATTTCACCAGCCCTGTTTGCACCAGGCCCAGAGTCAGGACGGGGTGGAAGTCAGATGAAGGATGGCACTGTGGATGGAGGGTACCCTCTCATGTGAAGTCCTAGGCCTGCGTTCCCATTCCTTTCATGTCTGCCTCCTCCCTGGATTTCTTTCGGAGCCTGCAGCCCCAGTTAGAGCGTGGTTAGCAAAGAGGGACCTGCAGGTGGATGGCCACTGCGTTCGTTACCCAGGTAGAAGTCGATAGAACTTACTGAATCTTGAGTCCTTCCTCAAGCAGTGCAGGACTCTCTTCAGATTCAGGCTGCTTTTCAAATTCTGGCCTCCTCTGCTTCTAATTAACTTTTGTAGGGGCTGCCTTTCTTTCCTCTCTCTTGTTCACTGCCCTTCTAATCTATTTTCCACGCAGGCCTTCTCCCTGACACAATTTGATTTCCAGGTGGCTAGCAGGCTTCTCTCTGGCTTTGATTTCTCCACTTCTTTCCTGTGCCACATGTCTTTGCTGCACAGATATGTCTTTGCTACCTTTTCACATTTCCTTTAAAGACCCGCAGATGCCTGATGGAACATTGCAGAAATAATGCAGGATGAAAACACGGTTCTGGGGAAGCTGATGTCTCAGGCTTGTTGTGGGAATGAATGAAGGAAGACTTAGACCTCCTCAGGGCTCAGGGAAAGAAACGTGAAGTACAGATTTTCAGCTTCTTATGGAGTGGTTTTTTGAACTTTTATTTATTTATTTATTTATTTTTTACTACTATTTTTTTATTTCAGGCCCTTCTAAAGTAGACATGTAATGACATGGTTCAGCGGTGCAATGGGGAAGATGGAGGGGCTTACTTTCAGTGAGAGCCCTGGGGCATGTAACATGATCAAATTCCAGCTTCCCACCCTCATCCTCCACTCCACATCTGTCCCCCCATGCCCCGCAAAGCCAAAGGAGCATCAAGCACCCATAAACCAGAAAGGTTTCACATTTTCATTGGTCCACACAGCTGCAGATGCTTGGCCATGTCCTGATTTTATTTTTCTGTATTTTATTAATAATCCACCAGTCATTACCCAAGTGCCACTTGCAGACTTAAATGTTTTCACAAGGACGCAGACCTCGAGTTGGGTGAAAATTAGTTTAGAAGCTAAATGGAGGTGTGGGGGTGAAATGAACATCCTTTGCTCCCCACTTGGCATGGAGTTTTGAGTTTACTCATATCCCTTAAACAAAACAGACTCGGCTGGGTGTGGTGGCTCACACCTGTAATCCCAGCACTTTGGGAGGCTGAGGTGGGCAGATCACCTGAGGTCAGGAGTTCGTGAACAGCCTGGCCAACATGGTGAAACCCCGCCTCTACTAAAAACACAAAAATTAGCCATGTGTGGGGGCCCGTGCTTGTAATCCCAGCTACTTGGGAGGCTGAGGCAGGAGAATCGCTTGAACCTGGGAGGCAGAAGTTGCAGTGAGCTGAGATTGCACCACTGCACTCTAGCCTAAGTGACAGTGCAAGACTCTGTCTCAAGAAAAAAAAAAAAAAAAAATCAAAACAGTAACTTCAGGTAAGGTCTGGAAGAGTTGTGTAAACTGATGAAGAGGTACACGTTTCATGGGATCCTGGTTACAGATAACACTTTAAATGAGCTTGGAAAGTTAAAGGATGCTGATAGTGATAGTGATAGAGACCGTCCTGGGGGCAACAAGTCGCTTGGCAGAGGAATGTTTAATGTTGGATTCATTAACTGCTGTTAAAGAAGGACAGCTGTGGGGCAGCTGCAGAACCCAGACCGCTAATCACCATTCATGGTCCCTCAATGAGGACGGAGCAGGAGACCAAGGATCAAGCCAAGTCCCAAAGCCACAGCAGGGGCTGGTACCCACTCACCCCTATCTTCTACACCTCCTGCATCTGCATCTGATGTGATTTCGCTCTATGTCTCCACCTAATCTGATCTTGAATTGTAGCTCCCATAATTCCCATGTGTTGTAGGAGGGACCCAGTGGGAGACAATTGAATCATGGGGGCAGTTCCCTCATACTGTTCTCATGGTAGTGAATAAGTCTCACAAGATCTGATGGTTTTATAAGGGGAAACCCCTTTTGCTTGGTTCTCATTCTCTCTTCTCTGCCGCCATGTAAGATGTGCCTTTTACTTTCTGCCATGATTGTGAGGCCTCTCCAGCCACGTGAAATTGTGAGTCCATTAAACCTCTTTTTATTTATAAATTACCCATTCTTGGGCATATCTTCATTAGCAGCATGAAAACGGACTAATACAGCATCTTAGCTACATGCCCCACATCTCATAATAATTTTAATCCTGCAACACAAAGAGAAGGTTCAGTTACATTTCAATAATTGAGGAAGAGGCCATGCATGATGGCTCACACCTGTAATCCCAGTGCTTCAGGAGTGTCAGGAGGGAGACTCACTTGAGGCCAGGAGTTTGAGACCAGCCTGGGCAATACAGCAAGACCCCAACTCTACAAAATACAAAAAAAATTTGCTGGGCATGGTGGCCTGTGCCTGTAATACCACTTACTTGGGAGGCTGTGTGAGGAGGATGGCTTGAGCCCAGGAGTTTGAGGTTACAGTGAGCTGTGATTGTGCCACTGCACTCCAGCCTGGGTGACAGAGCAAGGCCCTGTCTCTAAAAAATAATAATTCAAGAAGAAAGGAAAAGTAGTTGCCATTCTGACATTGATCAGGTTAACCTTCAATCAAATGGAACATTCTACCATTAAGAGTGATACTTGCTTAAACATTCCAGAGAGCCTCTGCAGAAGAGTTCCTGTAGTGGTGGTGGGGTGAGGAGATGGGAGGGTATTTTGCTTGACTGGAAGGAGGGGAATGACTTCATACTTGGTCAGTGAGAGAAGGGGATGGGACAGGTTCAGCTCTTGGTAGTTACTATATTACTAGGTTGATAACCTTAGCACGTTACCTCTGAGCCTGTTGCCTTGTCTGTCAAATGAGAATAAAAATACTATCATTCATTTCAAAGAGTATTTCTTGAGCCTATTATGTGCCAGGTACAGATCTACACACTGGGGTTATTGCAGGGACAAAAACAAGTCCTTGCTCTCAGAAGGCTTGAGTTCTAGTGCAGGGAAGCAGAAAATAAGCAGAGTGGATGATGTGTCAGATGGTGAGGGATGCTCTGAAGAACCATGGAGCAGATCAGGGGCAGAGGGAGGGGGATGTGACCCTATTGCAAGGTGTGGGAGTTGGGGAAGTGTTGATAAATTGATGGCTGAGCAGAGACCAGGAGGAAGCGAGGGAGTGAGTCACACAAGTATCTGGGGCCAGAGCCACCCAAGCAGCAGGAACAAGCACAGATGCTGAGAAGCAGGAGGACCCAGTAAGGTCAGGGAACAGCAAGAGGTCAGGGTGGGTGAGCAGAGGGAAGGAGGATGGGTGTTTGGCCTGTTCACTCTGAGTGAGAGAGGGACCTACAGAAAGTTTTAGCAAGGATGGGACATGACCCAACTTACGTGTTCAAATTATTCTCCTGAATGATGCCTTGTTAAAAACAAACTGTAGGTGGCAAAGAGCTGAAACCAAGAGACGATCTGCACGGAAATGGCACTCATCCACAGGACAGTCGATGGTCTTGGATAGAGTGGCATTGGTGGGGTGCATGTGAGCAGTCGATTCTACATATACTTTGAAGGTGGAGCACATCTAGCATCTACAGGATTTGTAGATGGATTGGGTCTAGAGTGGAAGGAGAGGAGTCAAGG